TTTATTACGATAATATGTTATACCAGATTGGTTCACTGTCAACTCGCCGGACTTTTCCCTTCTTTTCCTGCGTAAGCTTACGCGTTCGCTTTACGGGTCGCCCTCGATGGTGAATCAACACCTCGTGGAGATGACGCGTACGCATCAAAAAGGAGTTTCATACAGTAGAGGGCATCGTCATAAGCATGACATGACGGTAGATGACGTATCAATACTATTCAGCTAGTCGACTGTGATCAGTTTTCCGCCTCCTCTCCACATGCTTCCCTTCCCCCCTCCACTGCGTCCAACTTCCATTACCAGCACCCACTATACATGTACCCAGAAATGTGCTGAGCAGGGTGTTTATATAGCCATAGGGGTGTTATCACAATTATACTATTAAAAAGCATTGATAATGGCTTAAGTCCTGCGAGCTATTAGATTCTGTTAGCGGTTCGTTTATTCCATTATGCCTGCCATATCACTCACCTCATTTTGCGAACAGCTACGCAGACATAGTACCCTCGCCTTCAAATGACCAGAAATTGTGCAATTGCAGAAATTGACGTGGCATTGGCACACACGTGGCTAAATTCTCGATGAAAAGGTGACATCACGTGTGCTCAAAGATGTTCTTGAATCGATGCCACGTTAATGCCACGTCAATTTCTGCAATTGCACAATTTCTGGTCATTTGAAGGCGAGGGTACATACAGTCGATATCTCGAAGTCTGATTGGGCGTGTCACCGGAAATGACGTGGCAGCCACCGCACTTGATAGATGTTGTGTGGATAAAATACTCCGCCAGATATCAGCAAAGCGTGTTGGAAGCAGCTTATCCGCGCAACTTCTATCAAGTGCGGTGGCTGCCACGTCATTTCCGGTGACACGCCCAATCAGACTTCGAGAGATTGCGCGTCTCCGGACATCATGTCAACCGTGAGCCTTGGCGGTTCAGCGTTTTGTAGTGATGTCTGGGAGCTCTCACAAGTGCACACTATCACAGCATCTCCTCTTTCTTTATCTTCTTCAAAAGGCTTAGTCCCAATAAGACACAAAGTGTGTGCTTTTCCAGCTACGCTCTCACCCTTTGGTTGACAGAAGCCCTTGTGACCACATATACACATACCGACATGCATACAAACTGACACACCAAGTTAGCGGTTCATGAAATAGGAGGATTGGGGAGGTTTTGAAATACTTGTGCTTATCATGGTCCTTGCGTGTTCAGTTCATTACCCAGCGTGCGTAAAATAAAGGGTTTGCTTCCTGACCGAGATGCATTTGTAATGACATTCGGACAGTTTCGAATTCTTCATGAAATGCCAATAATAATGCCACAGTGCTGGGCCGGCACCGAAATTTAATTATTATCCAAATGAAAAACTGGCTTTTGTGTTGCATTCCCATATGTTTGTTGCTTTGGAATACTGTTCTATTCACGAGTGTTCCATTCAGCTTGAAGCCTATAAAATTTTGCCATCTAGCGGTTATCGATTCGTATAAACAAAAGAGAAGATATGAGCACCACAGATAGGCTTTATTTGTAATGTTCGTGGATGTCTCCTTGCCCACTACCATGTACAAAAGTCCACATTTGCCATTGGTGCAGTTTGTTGCGACCCGGCAGGACTGGCTCAAACTGGCTCGCAATTGGTAGCATGCTTGTTCACAGCCGTGTTGACATTCTAAAAGGAGACGTTGAATGTAGCGGCAGTGAGGAATTCAAATGGAGGCTTACTAGTCTCTGTATAAGCAGGATGTGAAGTAGAATCCGTTACATCTCTGTGTTGCGCATCCAATATCTCTGTTATTACCCCAGACGATCTGAATTTCATTAGGATTCTGCGAGCAAGCTCCAAGTGCAGTCATGAAATCGCGTCTTATGCGTTGGCCCATGCTGTGAGTGTTAAGATGGTGTCAGATCACCAGAGACGTAGTAAACTAGCCAAACTTGCACGTTAACGGGCAGTTTTAATGAGCACGTCACCTAGAGGTGCAGGTTTTTCCGATGATGATGGAAATCGCTTCTATGGCACTCAAAGACGCTATTTGCGAAACTGCTGAAAGCAAAGCTTCCGAGTGCGGCTCAGCTGGTCTGGCAGAGTGGTTTCTTTTTAAGCACAGCCGTAAAACGCGCAGGAAAAGGGCTCGCTGACAGAAAACGGGACGCGGGGGCGAAATACAATGTGTTTGGAGAGACGCAGGTGACGCCCGTTACGCGCAGCAAAAAGTCCTTCGGAGGACTTTTTGGAGTTGGCCAACTTCAAACTGCCAGGTGCGTGGGTCAAAGCACGGTGTTGGAAAGGGAAAGGGAGGCACCTTGCATTGATTCGTCAGTGGTGTAGCGCCTGCGGTCTACGTTGGTGTTGGATAGCTACTGGGATCGAGTACTAACGGTAAGTGTAGGTGCTAACTTTGCAGGCTCTCACAACACCTTTCCCTTTCTCTCAACAACTTTCGATCCTATAAGAACTTCTCCTTAGTGCAGTGGTAACGATGCCGCTCATGGGATGGTGCACCGAAAGTTGAACCCGTGTGTGACGCAAGGTTTGCAGGCAACGTGGGGCTCACCACTTCCACTATGGCAAATTACCAATGGCTCAATAGGAACGTTCTGCCGCTGGCAAGGTTGCTGGATCTACACCGCTTGGAGTCTAAGATTTGCAAACAACATCCGTTGCTTACCTGTTGTCAAGACCTCTTCCGATGCTGTGATCGAGTGATCCCTGGTGCACTGGCAAAAACCCGGCTTTGAGTCCTGTCATCCAGGGTTCAAGTCCGAGAGTGGCGCAAGTTTTGCAGGTAGTGTGGCGAGGCTGGCGGTTTCAAGAAGGGTCATGTCCATGTTTCCACGTTCTTTGTTCCTCGTCAATGGGTGAAAATCACCACATTTGATTGCCAGTCTACAGCACTTTACTACCGTCCCAGGTGCGACGCACTAGCGGTTCGAGCGGTGTACTAGTAACTTGACAGTGTTTGAATGTGGTGGGAATCACGTTGATTTTTGCCATTTTCCCTGGCTCATGAGGATGAGAGAGCAAGAAGGCATGAGATTGCCAGGTCGCTCGTACATTTTTGGAAGCGCTGGTGCATCACTCGGTGTACCTCACGATTCGTTTTCGGGTTTGTGAAACATCAAGTGGCCCTTCAAGGTCTTCGCATAAGCTCGAAAAGTATTGCGTCCCAGAAGAATGCCGAGAGCAGAGCGCATATCCAAGGATTTTGAGAACAGGTTACATCACCGCTTTCAAAGCTGGCGCCTTGAAACTACACCCAACGCTTGGCCAATCATTAGTTTATTTAAGGTAAAGCAAACCTTAGTCATGTGATTCGCCACATAGTTTTGCATCCAATATGTGAAGACCATGTTTGAGGGAACTCCAAACCTTGCAAGCTCGGCTTGCCATGTTGCTATCGCCTGATGGAATTTTCGTAGCGAAGTTTGAATGAGGTAAGTGTTAAAAAGCAAATGTTACGAAATTCAGCTCTGGAACTGGGTTTCGACCTACATTCTGAATGGCTCCTGCCGTCGTCTCAAAGATAATGGATGTTTTCCTCCAGCCGTCTTGCCAAGCTATACATTGACTTCGCTGCAGCTTCTTACGTGCGCATGGGCGTAAGCTTCTGCCCAGCAGTTGTATCTCTGAATTGTATGAAGAGATAGAATATTGCTACTTATTCGTGAATCGTGTTGATGATGGCATATCTCTACCAGAAGGTACATGAGCTGCTTGGCGGTGCATATTCGCTTCCAATAAAATCATTTCCTACTCGACCCAGTAAGCAACGAGGGATCTTAACAAAATAACACGCAAATAAACAAATTTAAAAAAACACCAGCGAGTCCATCGATGTTACCTGAAGTTATTGTGCATCCCAAGAGCAGTATTCCTGAATGCCAGCGAGAACGCCCTGCTTGGACATGCTGTGGACGCTGTAAATCCAATTGAACTCGTTTAATTGAGAGCTCATAAAGGCATTGAAATGAATGTTACAGGCGCTGAATGGTGAATTAACCTTGGCGTTTCGACAAGGTTCGTCTTCTCTGAAGCAGTTCCCAATTCATCACCAACTCATTACTGCACTTTCATGCTTGAAGCAGTTCTATTGTGGCTAATCGCTCAGCAGGGAATGTTGGCCAGTGCCAGGATCACCGTCGTTGATTTGGAGATCTCCATTTCAGCGTTGGGGTGCTCAAGTTATAGCATAAAATTTTGATGTAAGTCATGCTTCTGGCCAAGGTCAATTCTGCCATGGAGGCTTTGATGAGATGGAAACTTCATTGAGAATATCCATGGAATTCAAAGAATCTTTTTGTGTCGTCTCAGCAGGTAGAGACAATGATAGATACCTTCTTGGAAGTGATAAGGAATTTGGGGGTAGCACCGACACAAAGGCGTTAACAGCCTCGTGTGAAGCGTCTCAAAGTTCGAGAAATGCAAGCTAGCTAGCTCTGCTCCTCGCCTACTGCGTTCACAATTGAGCAGTACTGATTTATGCCTGATCTCACCTCAGTGTGATGGGGAGGGGGCATTTGATTAAGAGGAGAGAGAGGAAATTCTTCGCAGACCACCATCTCTAAGTGTGGCTGCCGGATGAGAGAATTCTGCAACGCTTCAAAATCTCGAGTGCTGCGAATTTGCCCACCAACGTGTCTCAATGGCTTAAGTGAAGCTACACTTTTGATAATTTCAAAGAAAAGAGAGAGAAGAAAATTATTTGTAACTCACGTGGCGTGGTGGTCGGTAGTGGTGGTAGTATATTGTTTTGTTGTTGTGGTTGTTTGTTTGTCGTTTGTAAAGGACTTGTATTGTGAGCTGGATGCTGGTGGTTGTTGAGGTAACGCTGTGTGGAATGTTGCGCTGTGTTGTATGTGGTGCACTGTGTTTGTTGTGGTGCCTGGTGGTTGTAATGTTGTGCTTCGTGTGTTGTGGGTGCGCTGTTGTTTAGTGTTTGCGCTGGTGTTGTTTGGGTGCACTGGTTGTTGTTTTGGTGAGCGGTGGTTTAGATGTTTGCGCTGAGTGTTTTTGAGGTGCAACTGGTGTTGTTGTGGGGTGACGGTGTTTATAATGATTTCACTTGTGCTTGTTATTGGTGGGCGCTGGTGTTGTTGTGGTGAGCTGTTGGTTGTAGTGGTTGCGCTGGTAGTTGTCGTGGTTTGTACAAGGTACTTAATCGGGATTTTCATCAGCGCCTTTCTGTATAGATTCTGGTTGTATGGCTGCTGAGTAGCACTGGCCTGTCCTTAATCAGCAGATCTTTTTAAACTCTTCCAAAAATTCTGAAAAACTCTTACTGTATGCTGACCTTGCACCAAGCGACATTGCAGTATAAGGAGGATAACCTTAAAATAGTTTCTTGAGTAGTCAAAAGAAGATTCTATGTAGTAGCGCGGGAACTTACAAAAGCAATCCGAAAGGAAGACATGTTCGATGGCCGGTGAACTGTGGTCATGGAGGCTTTTTATGCGCGGCTACTTTGCACTATGACAATATGTATACCGTAGGCTGCTATCGATTTTGACATCCTTCTCTGTGACGTCTGCTAAGCAGGGTCAACTGTCCGTTCGCACTATCCGAACTAGAGGTTCGTATTTGTGTTTCGGGAAGAGGGTAATCGCAATTCGGGGTTGAGCAAGGTTAGGCCGATGTCATAGTTTTGCGAATTCGAGCCATTCACTAGCGATCGCTGGATCCGAGCATTGCAACGACGAATCCCAACTTTGATCAGTGAATCGACGCGATCATCAGCGAGTCAGCGATGTACCAGCGAACCTCAATAGGGGCGGGACCCCATAGTTCAAAGAAGTCCCGACCACTTCAAAAAGGGTCTCTGTCACGTTGTCACGTTAAGCCAGTACGACTACATCCCCTCTTCCTTTAAACGTTGGGTCCCGCCACTGTTGAGTCGCTTGTACCTAGTTCGACTCGCTGGTACATCGTTCGACTCGCTGGCGCAAAGTCCGATTCGCTGGCGCAACGCTCGGATCCAGCGATTCGCTAGCGAATCGCTCGATTCGCAACTATGACGTCGATCTATCATAGTGGGGACGGAGAATTTCCTCAAGGAGTTAAATTTGGATGGTTCCCACGAATTTTGGATAGAAATAAGAAAAAGTAGTGAGAAATAGGTAAGAGGTGAATTTTCGTTTCATCAAAAAAAAAAAACTTCCCCCTATCCGCTTACGCCCCTCCCCCCGCCGCTCGCTCGATAGCCGTTTTGGAAAAGTGCGAACGTGGCAGCTAGCCCTACTGCCAAGTAGCGGTGCGTGATTTGTGTGATGTAAATTGAAAGCACATGAGCACTTTGAAGGAGAACCATCATAAATATTTTTCAGTTTTGTGAGGGCTGCTTGACCTCAGTATATTGAAAAGTATCTATTTTTGAGTAACCATTATGACAAGTATTTGTCAATTTTTACATGTAAAGAAATAATAATGGGTGGAGCGATGCGTGCTGAGCGATCCTCTCCTGTGGTATTTCTCGTAATTTCGGTATCGTAGCGAGGTCTCCATTCAATCTTGAGGCTAGTACTGTATGGAGCTTGAATCCCACTAAAGGTTGAGATAGCGCCGCGCTAAAGGAATCTTACACGGAGAAAATCATGTTCTCTATTTCAGTCATAAATCATTGGCTTGAAGCTCATTATCCACCATGAGAATGAGAAAACAGGTGGATTGCTTTTATTTTGGTAAAAAACGAAAAATTTCGAAAAAATCGAAAGGGCTGCTACGCGTTCAAAGTGCCCACGGACGTCTTTCACAAATGCTGGCGACGGGGATGCTTCCACTTGGTTCTTGGAGTGCCTTCACTAGAAACTCTTTCTGGCCTTCTGCTTTATTGCATTCACATCTTACACTTCTACTCCATCCTATTCTATCGATCGATTTCTCTACTCTCCGAAATCGCGCGCTTTAACCCGATTCTTTCATTGCGTCGCCTGATACGTAGCCGGCCAAAGGCCAACTTCTTTCCATGCCTCCTTTGGCTCCGCCCGAATTACCTTCGATTGTCCATAGAGTGTAGTTTTTGTACGTTTGTTTCTCTTCGGAAACCGAATCTTCATGCGTGAAACTTTGTGTGCTGTTTCCAGTGATCACAACTGACATATTCATGTCAAGGAAAGAATGCAAGAATTTTCCGCGAAGGATTCCTTTAACACGTTGACTTCATCGCGCGTTTTGTGTTTTTGCACCGCATGGACAGGAGCGAATTTGCGAGCGCAGTCGCCGCACACCAAATCCATAAATTTTAAGTTGTAAATCCGCAACACTTAGATGCGGTGGAATGTTTTCAATGATCGTTCGATCTGTCTAGCTTATCAGGAGTTACTGTAATGGAAGTTTAATCCGTCATTGACAATGCCAACATGCCATGAAAAGGGGAATTTTACTTGAAATTCCCCTTAGTGGTTCCAAAATTAATTTGGACGTGGTTGTTTCAGTAAAAACACATATCTTCCCATACGAATAGGTTTGTATTCACTTCTGTTATTCCTTTTTATCAACATGTCTACGTTATTGAAAAGAAAACGAGGAATGAATTGAACAGACATATCCGTAAGGTCTGGAAAACGTCTGCCAAACTAAAGAATATTTGGCCTTTCTGTGAGCCATGTGGTTTTTAAGTATGCTAATGTATGACCTATAGAATGAGTACAAAGACCTAATAATTTCAACCACGCTAAGATAAAATGATACTTCGGTGACCGTTACCGCGTCAACAATGTCCCACCGAGTGCGCAAAGTGAGAACGCTTACCGCGTAGTCAACGTGTTAAAGGCGAGCCCCGGAATAAAATAGTCAGGAAGAGCGTTCAATACTGGAGCTGGAGGTGAGGAGTGATCTGAAAAAGAAGCAGGAGAAACAGGCGATTGCGCCCTACATAAGAATCTCCTCTATCTGCATTACGGACTTCACATGTATTTTCGGTGCTGGCGCCGCTTTTTCATGACTTCTGTTCCCATCGCGAATTCTGTGAACTTCTGAACAGGAGTTATATGGTGATTTTTAACGTTAATGCCGTTTAACGCGACTTTCTCCTCTCATTTGAAGAGGCTTATTGTTAGGCGTGAGATTGGAGGAAGGGAGGGGGAGGTGCCTCCGGGATGAAGAGACTGCGTACCGTGCGGCAAAAGTTAGAGTGCGTTACATCACAGGGAGTGTGACTTGCTCATGTCGAGCTCTCGTTGCTTCATGAATACCAGAAAGATCACTAAGACCAACCCCGGCCAAAAGTAATAAGGCCACATTTCTGTCGAGTTATCGGAGGTTTTCGTTCGGCCGCTTCTCGATCTTCAGTGCCTTGCCTGCAATCATTTTAGCTGTATTATAAAAGTATCGAAAGAAAAACCGAGGCACCCATGTGGTGAGCGTCGGTAGCGCAGTTTTTAGTGGTCTTGCTTCTCGAGTACCTAGAACCAGGTTTTTCTCCAAATCTGAGGTCATGATCTAAATGAGAAAAAGTGGAACAGTGATGATTACCACTCTCTCAACTCGCACGTTTTTGGTTGAACCAATCATGACGACGGATAGGGGTGAGAGATCAGGGTTGTATCTGAAAATTATTTGTAAACGGTCTTTGATACGATCAACCGGCCCAGCGAGACACAATTTTTTTCTATCTTGGAAAAGTGTTTGGAAGGTTTATTCTACCCAAGTGTCAGCCTTTTGTAATGGATTGGTGAATCGGTGAGTGACTGCCCAGAATTTTCGAGGTTAGGTCAAAATTTCAGAATTCGCTAGAGGTTTGCTTCAAAGGGAGAGTCTGGCTCCCTAAATTACGAATATCATACTTTGTTCGAAGCGAAAAATGCCTTTCGCCTGCGCCACAAGCGCCCGAAGTAGTGAGGAATAATGCCGCCCAACCCGTTCGTTAAAATTAATTGCCTTCGAATTCTTGGAGCTTTCAACAACACGTAGGCATTTGGACTAGCGATGTTTGGAATTTTCCTAGCTATCTCACTGCAAACGGCAAAAGAATAAGCTCGCCAAGGTATCGATCCCCTGACCTCTTCCTCGTGAGCCTCGACCACAGCCTCTGCGCTTTTCTGCCTCATAATTTCTTCCGGAGAAGACATCCTGGTTGACTCTCCCCTGGCGGCAGCACCAGTTGTGAGTGCTATTTTGTCAATCAAGGCATCGAAGTATTCTTCTAGGCAAATATTTAAAGGGAAATAAATTTTGAAATTTTGCAGTTGCAATTGTTTACTAAGACGCGATGTTTCAATGCTGGGTCGGCCACTCTGAGCAGCTATTATTGAAATGAAAAACTAGCCTTTGTGTTGCACTCTTACGTGTTCGCTACGTCAAATACTGTCATTCACAGGGTAATATCTAGCTTGAAAGAGACATGATTTTGCGTTCCGACTTTTATTGATCCCTAATATTGACATATAAACAAAAGAGAAGAACGCTGCAGATGTGCTCCATTGCAACTGCTTGTGGCTGTCTGCTCAGCCATTACCATGAGCAAAGTCCAACATTGCCGTTGCAGTTGTTGGGACCAGCAGGGCACTGGCTACAAACCGCTCCGATTGGGTAGATGCTTGTTCCAACAGTGTTGACACTAAAAAACGAGACGTTGAATGTAGCGGCAGTGAGGAATTCAAATGGAAGGCTTACTAGTCTCTGTATAAGCAGGATGTGAAGTAGAATCCGTTACATCTCTGTGTTGCACATCCAATGTCTCTGTTATTACCCCAGACGATCTGAATTTCATTAGATTCTGCGAGCAAGCTCCAAATGCAGTCATGAATCGCGTCTTATGCGTTGGGCTATGCGTCGGGTGTGAGTCCAGGCTGAGTTATCTGCCAGACTGTGAATCGCGGAGTAAGAACGAAGCACCAGTGGTTCAGACTGATGTCACCGACATAACAGCGTTTGAAAGTAGTGGGAGTACGCACGTTGACTCCGCCACTTTCCCGGGCTATCTAGCCATGGCAGAGCAAGAGGGCATGAGAGAGTCAGGTCACTAGTACATCGTTCGAGCCACTAGTGCATCACTCGTATACCGTTTCGCTAGATTTGCCAATTTTTGTACCGGCCTTAGGTCGAAGGAACTTGGTTTTCGGGTTTGTGAAACGTTGAGTGGCCCTTAAGGTCTTGCCATAATGCTCGAAGTATTGTAATCCCAGAAGAGTGCCGAAAGCAGGGCGCATATCCAAGGATTTTGAGAACAGGTTACATCACCGCTTTCAGAGCTGACGCCTTGGAACTACACCCAACACTTGGCCAATCATTAGTTTATTTAAGGTAAAGCAAACCTTAGTCATGTGATTCGCCACATAGTTTTGCATCCAATATGTGAAGACCATGTTTGAGGGAACTCCAAACCTTGCAAGCTCGGCTTGCCATGTTGCTATCGCCTGATGGAATTTTCGTAGCGAAGTTTGAATGAGGTAAGTGTTAAAAAGCAAATGTTACGAAATTCAGCTCTGGAACCGGGTTTCGACCTACATTCTGGATGGCTCCTAGTCTATCGGTTGCCGTCGTCCAAAGGATGTGGATGTTTTCTTTCCAGCCAGGTCTTTGCCAAGCATACGATTGGCGTCCGCTGCAGCTTCTTACGTGCGCTTGGGCGTAAGCCTCTGCCCAGCAGTTATATCTCTGAATTGTGTTAAGAAGATAGAATATTGCTACGTATTCGTGAATCGTGTTGATGATGGAATATCTCTACCAGAAGGTACATGAGCGCTGATGGTGGTGCATTTTCGTTCGAATAAAATCCATTCTAGCTCGCATCCACAGTAGCACGAGGATCTAACAGCAAAATAATAGATTCCAAAATAACAAATTTAAAAAAAAGCACCAGCGAGTCCATCGATGTCACCTGAAGTTATTGTGCATCCCAAGAGCAGTATTCCTGAATGCCAGCGAGAACGCCCTGCTTGGACATGCTGTTGAAGCTGTAAAGCCAATGAACTCGTTTGATTGAGAGCTCGTAAAGGCAATGAAATGTTTACAGGCGCTGAAATGGTGAATTAACCTGGCGTTTCGACAAGTTCGTCTTCTTGGAAGCAGTTCCCAATTCATCAACTTATTACTGCCACTTTCATGCTCGAAGCAGTTCTGTTGTGGCTAATCGCTCAGCAGGGAATGTTGGCCAGTGCCAATCCCGTCGCTGGTTTGGAGATCTCCATTTCAGCGTTGGGGTGCTCAAGTTATAGCATAAAATTTTGATGTAAGGCATGCTTCTGGCCAAGTCAAATCTGCCATGAAGGCTTTGATGAGACAGAAACTTTATTGAGAATATCCATGGAATTCAGGGACCTTTTTTGTCGTCTCAGTAGTTAGAACAATGATAGACCCTTCTTGGAAGTGATAAGGAATTTGGGGGTAGCACGGACACAAAGGCGTTAACAGCCTCGTGTGAAGCGTCTCAAAGTTCGAGAAATGCAAGCTAGCTAGCTCTGCTCCTCGCCTACTGCTTTCACGATTGAGCAGTACTGATTTATTCCTGATCTCACCTCACTTGATGGGGGTGGGGACAGGGGATTGAGAGGAGGGAGCGGAGTTACTCCGCAGGCCACCATCCCTAAGTGTGGCGGGCGAATCATAATTTTCTGTCTCAAAGTCTCGAGTGCGACGAACTTGTCCAAAATTCGAACGGAATTGGAATTTTCCAACGTGCTTCAATGGCTCAAGAGAATGGCTACCACCCTATTCCCGACCCCCCCACCAGTTTTTGATAATTTTAAAAGAGAAGGAGAGAAAAAAAATTATTTAAACCTTCACGAGCGTGTGGTGGCTCGTAGTAGTTTTGTTAGTGTAGTAAGTTGTGGTATGAACTTGTGAGTTGGGAGGTTGGGCTGTTGTTGTAGTAGTGGAGCTGGGGGGCTGGATTGTGGATGAGGTGTTTGCATTTGGCCTGGGGTGTTTGGTACTGTGGATACGACTGCGCCTGGGTTGGTGGTAGTTGTTTGTGCGGTGGTTTGCATTGAGCCTGGGGTGTTTGGTACTGTGGATACGACTGCGCCTGGGTTGGTGGTAGTTGTTGTGCGGTGGTTTGCATTGAGCCTGGGGTGTTTGGTGCTGTGGATATGACTGCGCCTGGGTTGGTGGCAGCTGTGGCTGCGCTGGTGGTTGTTGGTGCTGTGTCGGAAGTTGTTGTGGAGGTGGAGGCCGTTGTGGATGCTTGCTAACCATCAGGAGTATGTCATTAATTCGTAGTAGTAAAGTGATTGTGTAATAATTATAGTATAGATTGTATTGTATAATAGTATAGTGTAATGTACTAGTTCGTTTCTGAATAATACTAGAACTGAATGGGGCCACCTCGGCCGGTGGTTCTAGAGCTGATGGAGGCACCTGGGCCGGTGGCCTGAGCAAGGGCAGTTGACCTGAGCAGTTCCGTTGGCCTAGGCCGGGCTGGTAGTCTGAGCATTGCCGGCCTAACCTCATTCGGCGGAACTTTCTTGAAACTTGAAGCGAAAGCCCCAAGAGTTCACATTTTAGCTACTAATGGAATGACTGGTTGCTTATGCTTGTCAAGAACGTGTGAAGTGCCGCGCTGAAAGCCCCGGAGAGCCGCTGTGGTAGATTTTGTTAGGTGTCAAGTGGTTCGCTCCGCCATTTCCTGCTGTCTACGCACTTGCTAGCCCGATTCCTTAGCCTAGTGGAATCGCGTGATGGGCTGCGTGGACACAAGCGATCGTTCAGGGAATGCAGTGACTACACGAACTCGTTCGTAGTATTTGAACTCGAAAAATGTTCAGTTTGAGCGCATGCCTGTTTCTCAATCGAACCTACGCCGTTTCTGCCGCTGCCGATTTAAACTATGTAATTTGGAATCTGTTTATGTCTTTTGTTTCAAAAATATCCTACTATGCATGAATCGCTAGTTTGGCTTTTGTTCCGATAAGCTTCACTGACAGTTCCTCTTTTCTAAAATTGAATTAATAGAGCAAGCAAGCGCTAAGATTTCTTTTCTTCCATATTCTGACTAAAGAAAGTTTCTCCGCTTGGTTACCTGATATATTATTTTTTCCGAACATGCAGGGACTTTTGCTTTTAACCTAACACGGAGCCCGTTCATTGCAGGCAAACTCGCGCTACTGTCCCGGCCCAGGATCTTCCTTATCAAGGGAGAACCGAGAGAATCAAGAGTTTCATGGACAGGTTCTCTTTGTTCCTTTTTTTATTTGCTGTCAACCCCCAGCCACAAGCTCATCATCGACCGTTCTTAAATCCAAATCGATCTGGGGTTGTTGCTTGATAAAATGTCTTGATAAAGCGGTTGTTGTATGCTTGGTAACCCTACCGTCACCGTAATCGTAGTCGCCCTGAGTCTGACCCAGCACCAACTGGCATTGTAGGATAAGGAAAATCAGCTGAAAGAAG